TTCTCTTCATCTGTCGTCTTTTGGCATTTAGTGTTGTAGCAAAAGCCAAGACTAGCTTGATTTTTTTTTTTTTTTTTCCGCNGACTAGCTTGTTTTTTTTTTTTTTTTTACCGCTTTAAGGCAAGTCTGTTCTGCCTAAATGGTTGTAAAATTTTCCCTCTTGATTTTTTTTTTTAATTAAAAAGTGTTGCCAAACTTAATGAGCCAGGCATTCATTAAACTATTCTATTTTTGTGTGTGTTTGACATTTCAGTAAGAAAAAAAACCTAAGAAAATATCAAAAGCTCTCTAGATATGAGTCTTTTCCCATTGGTTTTGCTGGACTGTGGTGGGCTGTTTTCACAGGACCCGCAACCCACTCTTCAGCTCCGGCTGTGTGTTTCTTTACTTCTGTTATTGTTTATTGTTTTTGTTCCATTTGTTCCACTGATCTCTTTTAACTTAAAGGTCTCTGCCGTGTTATCTTCTGTCTTTAAAAAGCTTTTTATTATTTATTTTTGTCTGCATAGGTCTTCATCTCTGTGTACGGGCTTTGTCTGGTTGCAGTGAGTAGGGGGCCAGTCTCTAGTTGTGGTTTGCGGGCTTCTCATTGTGGCAGCTTCTCCTGTTGCCGAGTACGGTCTCTAGAGCACTGGCTCAGTCATTGCGGGGCATGGTCTTAGGTGCTCCATGGCATGCGGAATCTTCCTGGACTAGGGATCGAACACATGGCCCCTACATTGGTAGATGGCTTCTTAATCTCTGGACCACCAATGGAAGTCCTGAATCTTCTGTCTCATTGCTGACCCTTGTGCCCTTGGCAGCTGCTGATAGAACTTCATCTTGACACACTATTTACTTGACTTTCTACAGTGTTGATCCTGTTTTCCCCTTGTTTCAGTATTAACCTTAATTCTACTAATGTTGGCTTCGTTTCCTCATAATAAGTCCTTCCTGCCTCCATCTCTTTCTTCACCTCAGCCTGTTTTCTTCTCCTGTCTTGTGTTCTTGTTCCATAGTGGTTACTTTATTTTGTATTGTTTCAAGGATACACCTCTCCTGATGTTTTCTCTGACACCTTAAGATTAGAGTAAATTTCAGGGAGATGTTGTTCCTCTCAGCCTTCTGAGTATCCTTCTCAGGATGCTGTTTTTTTTTTTTTTTTTCCTCAAGCACTGTAGAGTCCTTTAAAAAGGACTCTAAACAGGACTCTAAAAAGGAGTCCTTTAAAAACAAAAAAACAGTGGAAACTTTTAGAATTAGCCAGCTGCACTCAGTTTAGATGATCCCAATTTCATTGGCAACATCCAAAGCATCATAGTCAGGAGCCAGTTGGACATAGGCCTTCTTCCCTCCATCGGGCCTGATCAGGGTGTTGACCTTGGCCGTGTTGATGTCACAGAATGCCTTCACAGCCTGTTAATCTGGTGGTGCTGGCCTTGACATCCACAGTGAACACCAGGTGTGTTGTGTCTCCTGTCTTCATGGCTGACTTGCTGGTTGAGGGGGAACTTGATGGCGTAGTGGTCACACTTGTTCCCCAGGGGCACTCTTCTGAGGATATCTGGGCTCCCTCCTGAACCACAGCGCTTTAGGCCATTGGACGGCAAGTGACGTATGGATCATCTTTTTTTGTTTTATGGCCGTGAACGTCTTTCAACACTGCTTTCTTGGCCTTCAAGGTCTTTGCTTTGGCTTCCGCTTTGGGAAGGGCTGGGGCTGAAGGAAAATGAGGGTGCAGGGGCACCCACTACTGAGCTTCAGTACAGAATTGATCAATTTATACAGCCTTTTTCATTCACTCTGTTAGAATTTTCCCCCTCTATCCAGACTCCCAAACCAGTGACTGGGGATCAGAGCAGCTGGACTGGTCTCCTGTCCTCACTCACTGGGCTTTCATGCTCGGAATCTGTAGAATGTACAAAAACTACATTTCCCAGCATGCATTGCCACCTCCCCTTCCTGTCTTGGTCCTTGTCTCAGGATGCTGTGTTTCAAGGCCATGCCAGACTCTACTTCCTGCCCCGTTGTCTCTCTCCTGGTTATCACCTCTGACTGATGGTGGCATGGAGGGGAGCAAGGGGCGGAGTTGAGGTTTGAGAGTAATGGAACACTGTCCTGATTGCCTGTGAAAAGTGAGTGTTAGTCACTCAGTCATGTCTGACTCTGTGACCCCATAGACTGTAGCCCACCAGGCTCCTCTGTCCATGGAATTCTCCAGGCAAGAATACTGGAGTGGGTTGGGGTTCTTCCCCACCCGGGAATCAAACCCAGGACTCTTGCACTGCAGGCAGGTCCTTTATCATCTGAGCCACCAGAATGAAAGCAGATTTCTTTCCCCTAGTGCCTTTCAAGTTTTCCTAATTACTCTGGAGGACATTTTCTACTTATATAATAAAATAAAATGTGAAACAAGTAGTATCTCTGTATTTATGAGACAGCTGCCCAGTATTTAAGATCTGAATCTAACTTTTGGTCTCTGAGCAGGAGGTGGTCAGCATAACAGGTAAGAAGTACCTTTCCACCTTCCTGAGGGCAGATTCTGGGCCTTGGAACCCTGGATTATTTTTTTCAGTCCAGCCCCATCCACCATCCACCTTCTATTTATGGGGCTTCTTCCCAAACCTGTCCTTAGCTCACCCTTCAGCCTTTGATTTTAGTGTTATGAGTTTTTGCCTTTTTAAAAAATAACATCAAAGACTGGCATATGGATGACTATTTTGTCATTAAAAAAGAGTGATAAAATATACATATCAGAAAATTTGACTTCCTAACCATTTTTAAGTATTCAACTCAGTAGTGTTAAATATATTCATATTATTGTATGACCAGACTCTCGAACCCTTTTCGTCTTGCAGAGCTGAACCTCTGTACCCAGTAAGCAATAACCCTCCTCCCTCGCTCCCTTCCCTGCTGTGTCCCCAGACCCTTTTCATCAACATTCTACATACACCCATTTTGAAATTAAAGATATCCGAAAGTCTTAATGGTCCTTCGTTCATTTGGCACAGTTTTAATGAGCACACACTCCTTGCCAGACCCTGTCGTAGGTTCTGGGAAATCAGCACTGAACAAGAGCAGTATGATCTCTGTTTTTAAGAAGCTGAGTTTTTAGGGAGAAGAGGAAGGCAGACAATAAACGAATGAACAGAGTGAGTTCAGTTCAGTTGCTCAGTTGTGTCCAACTCTTTGTGACCCCATGGACTGCAGCATGCCCGGCCATCTCCTGGAACTTGCTCAAACTCATGTCCATCGAGTTGGTGATGCTGTTCGATCATCTCATCCTCTGTCGTCCCCTTCTCCTCCTGCCTTCAGTCTCTCCCAGCATCAGGGTCTTTTCCAGTGAGTCAGTTTTTTGCATCAGGTGGTCAAAGGATTGGAGAGTGAGTTCAGATAGCACTAAGAGCTGGGAGACAGTACAACTATTGGGACGGAGGGGAGCCTGCAGCATGCTCCCTTGGCCAGTGTGGTCCTGGGCAGGGGGCCTCTCTGAGTGAGTGATGGTTGAGTCGATCCCTGGATTTATGTGGGAGACCTCCTCCACCAGGTAGATGAATGAAGGATGTCAGTCTTAGCAGGGAAATAGTGCCCACAAAGACTCTCACTACTTTGAAGAGTTTGAAACAACATAGCCTTGCTTGGGCATTCTGAGCAGCAGGGGGAGAATGAGCAGATGGCAGGCAGCGTCTGAGGCTGCGGAGGGCCACGGAGTTCTAGTTCGTGTGAGGCAGTCTGCATGAGCCAGCCTTCCCTCACTCACTCACTTCTGCTCTTGGGCTGAGGACGGAATCCCCAGGTTCAGCTGAGTGTGAGGCCAGTTCTTTTTCTAATGGCAGGACTGCTGTGGGGTATGGAAATCTACCCCCAGGTACTTCCTGTCACCTTAGGAAGCACATGCAACTATTCTACAGTAACCCGTGACTCAGAAAGGTCGGGGCTGCCCCGGGGGCACAGTGCTTAAAGAACCCACCTGCCAATGCAGGAGCCATAGGAAACCAGGGTTCGATCCCTGGGTCGGGAAGATCCCCTGGAGGAGGGCATGGTGACCCACTCCAGTATTCTTGCCTGGAGAATCCCATGGACAGAGGATCCTGGTGGGCTACAGTTTATGGGGTCGCAGAGTCAGGCACAGCTGAGCATGCATGCTTACAAAGGTTAGTATTAGAGTTAGAAAAGTTTTCTTGTTGTTCTCAAGGATTTAGGGAGGATTAGAAAAATGCTTTATAGGGAATTCCCTGGCAGTCCAGTGGTTAGGACTCTTGATTCCAGTGCTGGAGGCCTGGGTTCAATCCCTGATCATGGCATTAAGATCCTGCAAGACACGTGGCATGACCAAATAGAGAAGAAAAGAAATGATTTATAAACACCAATCTGGTAACCCCAAAGAGTTTTTGCTATAATGGCATGACCACATCTGTCTTCAGTGATGTGGCTTCTTGACTTCTGCCACGCTGGCTGCATCCAATGGCTATGGGCTTGTGAATGTCATCACACTGCAGATGTCTTTTCTCAGCTCTGGTCATCAGATTGCACTCAAACTGCATTTTGAGCAGCCTGTGTCTGATAAAATTCTACTTTGTTTATTTTTATTTTTTTGGCCACATCGTGCGGAATCTTTCCTGACCAGGGATTGAACTTATGCCCCCTGCCTTGGGAACTACAGGATCATTAGGGAAGTCTTCGACTTTTGGTTTTTTATTGTAACTATTTTAAAGTATTTTTAAACAGGTAAAAAAAAAAAAAAACACCCTTAAGGAAATATGGCGAACATTAATTGTTTTAGTCCAAGAATGGGGAGAGACACAGCCTATGGTGATTCTGATATGGCCATTATGCAGAAACCCGTTTATGAATAGATGATCTGAATCTACACTTCAGTCCACTGAACCAACCGAAATCCACCACCATCCACTTAAAACTGGGCCCGCTTCATGTTGGGCTCCTTATCTAGTGTGATACCTCTTGAGCTCTAAATGTTGGATTTGGAAAATGCTTGGCATCATCCTCGGTCTTTATTTCAGAAAGTATCCTGGGATGGCATGGGCCCAAGTCACACTCCACGGAGCAGCTGAAAAATGGGACACTTGGCTCCTTGCCATCAGCCAGCGCCAGCATCACCTGGGCCATTTTACCCAACTCCGCGGAGGATGAGCAAACCTTCCCGCCAGAGCCAGAGCCAGAGGTAAGCCGGCTGTCCTGTCTAGCACCGTGTGTGGCTTTGTGTTAGTGCTTGCTGGGAAAGAGAGTAATTATATTTGTAACTTGCTCATCTCTGGATTTTAAGAGGAGACCAGTGATAAAATGGAAGCATCACCCGGGGAGACAAAATCACCCCTGAGCATGCCTGTTCTCCTGCCTGGCAGCTGCTGTGGGTGAATTATGATGCAACCGATGGGGAATCTCCTATTTTCACTGAAACGGAAGTTATTTTCATATTGAGCAGGAGAGATTCGAACACACTCGCTGACGTGATGCCTGTTGACATGATGGGAGCAGTTACAATATACTCTATCACTCCCCTAAAAATAGTGGCTTCTTTGTGTTGGTTGTGCTGATACTGTGAGCTCCTGCCTCCCACGCGCACTCCCCGCATGCTGCAGAACCAGGCGAGCCCATGGGCAGTGGCTGGGGCTCTTCCGGGCACTGCGCTGCAGCCCGGGTCCAGGGACGAGCAGCTCTGTCGACCTTAGTGGCCAGCCAGACCCTGCCACAGGCTCGCTGGGCCCTGCCATCTGCCTGCACGATGCTCCTTGACCAACGGCGCCTCTGAGTGGCAGCTGGAGAGAAGCCAAATGCAGCCTGCCTTGTATTCATCTCTCCCGTGTCAGGAGTGAATGTCTGTTTTCTCTGTTTCTTTGGATGCACGTTTCCTGTTGACATGATCTTGTGAACCGGGCTGGGACCTATTGTAACCATATGTTAGAGGTGGTTCTTTGTTTGAATTGAAATCACTTTGGCTAGAAAATTATAGAACAGGATCTATTTTGTAAGGGTGCAAGCCCCAGAGCAGCGTCTTGGATCAAATGGTCTTGGTTCTCCACTGGCATTTTTCTCCCAGCTTCATGTGGTTTTTTTCTCTGAGGGTGACTAAAGGGCCTAGATCTTCCAGAGGCAGGGTCAGCCTGCCCACAAGTATTTCGTCGGCATCTGTAAGGTGACTTCGCAGAGTATGAAATGATAGGGGATGTGAGGCTTTGAGAGGCCTTTGCCTCTGGCCATGCACTGAGTTTCAGGTGGGAAACATTTGCAGCTGACATGTCGTTGCCTTGCAAGGTAAGTTGGAAACTGAGAGGATGATCGGAGCTTGGGATCAGGTAGCTCTGTTGAGAGCCTTGGGCGGGTGACGTTTGAGGAGGGGTGCTTCACTGCTGAGGGGCTGAGGACTCCAGTCCCTTCCATTCCATTGGGAAAGAAGCTTTGGGACTTCACACCATAATACACGTACTTAAAACTTGCTCTAGAAGGACATGAAGAGAGAAATTCTTCGATCTTCAGAAACAAATCCTATGCACAGCAGCATCACGGAAACCCTAGCAGAGACTATCACCTAATAAGCTTAAAAAAATAAATGATTTTGTTTGTTTATTTATTGAAGTCTAGTTGATTTATAGTGTGTTAGTTTGGACTGTACAGCAAAGTGATTCAGTTATACATAATTCTTTTTTAAAATATTCTTTTCCATTATGGTTTATCACAGGATATTGAATATATCAGTAGTCCCTTGTACTATATACAATAGGACCTTGCTGGTTATCCATTCCATAAAAGAGTTTGCATCTGCTAACCCCAACCTCCCAATCTATCAGTCCCCAGTCCCCCCCGCCTTGCCAACTACAAGTCTGTTCTCTATGTCCATGAGTCTATGATAGGTTCATTTGTATCATATTTTAGATTCCACAGGTAGGTGATATCATATGCTATTTGTCTTTCTCCTTCTGACTTCATCTAATGTAATAATCTCTAGGTGTGTGTGTGTGTGTGTGTGTGTGTGTGTGTATATATATAATTATAATTATATACATATTTTAAAAATTATAATTATATATATATAATGGAATACTACTCAGCCTTAAGAATGAGCAACATGGATGCAGCTAGAGATTATTACACACACACACACATATATATGTGTATACATATGTGTGTATGTGTGTCTGTGTGTTCTTTATGCATTCATCTGTCAGTGGGTATTTAGGTTGTTTCCATGAACACTGGGGTGCGTGTATTTGAATTAGAGCTGTGTCTAGATATGTGCCCAGGAGTGAGAGAGCTGGATCTTATGGTAATTCTGTTTTTAGCTTTTTTTGAGGAACTTCTGCAGTGTTTTCCACTGTGATTGCACCAATTCACATTCCAAACAACAGTGTAAGAGGGTTCCCTTTTCTCCACACCTTCTCTAGCATTTGTTGTTTGTAGACTTTTTAAAGATGGCCATTCTGACCAGTGTGAGGTAGTACTTTGTGGTAGTTTTGATTTGCATTTCTTTAATAATTAGCTTACTCCTTGGAAGGAAAGTTATGACCTAGATAGCATATTAAAAAGCAGAAACATTACTTTGCCAACAAAGGTCTGTCTAGTCAAGGCTATGGTTTTTCCAGTAGCCATGTGTGGATGTGAGAGTTGGACTATAAAGAAAGCTGAGCGCCAAAAAATTGATGCTTTTGAACTGTGGTGTTGTAGAAGACTCTTGAGAG